GAGAGCCTAGCGTCTTGAGGATGGGAAACATGGTGCACTCAGGGGAGATACCAAATGAGTCTGGATGGCCGGTGCTTGTGGCGACGACGACAGCCTGGTCTGGACTTCCGCACGCCACATCGTATGAATCAATCTCATCACCACTCGCGCCTCCGCCCAGACCATACTCACCGATCAAATCCCCCGGTGGGATTCCGCGGAACATCCACTCCAGAGCAGGGTCAAAACTCGCTTCTGTCCGCTTAAACGGCACGCCTGGTCCTGTGCCTTCAGCATTGAATGCGACCCCAAATAACCCGTGAGACGACCGGCCTCGAGACCTCCACATTCCGCCTTGGGTGCCATTGACCGATAGGAACCGCTCTCCTCCAGGTAGAGCATAAGTCCGCACACCCTGGTCACCACGTCGCACCTCAAGGCGCCAGGGTCTCGCAATATCTAACCCGGCAACCCAGTAGAACCCGTTACCGCCGAGATACATCAGACTTCCGCCTTGCTTAGCGTACTCTTCATAGGCGTCATAAGACTCAATGGTCGGGTATTCCGGGTGGCAGCCCGTCATGACGACGGTATAGGGTTTAAGCACGTCGACGCCCTTAGCATGTAGATCATGGTCGGTGATAATATCGTAGGGGATGTTCTCCCTTTCCAGAAATCCAATCATCATTGACTCGGCACTCAGCTCGCGCGGTCTCTCAAATGCCCACATGATATATCCGGTTCTGAAGTTCAAGATTGGTCGCTTAGCGGAGGAGAAGACTACCCCTGAACCGTCCCGGTGGACGTCATAAGTCGACAGGCCCAAATCCTGGCGGCGAGTCATGCGATGAAAATCTTCTGTCCGTTGAACCTTGGTTGGATCAAACCCAGGTCCAACATCAACCAGGGACGGACGGCCAGGATCGCCTAGTTTCTCATTGGCGTAGGCCAGGTAGGTGAAAGTCGAGAGGACAAGAGCAACTTTAGCACCCACAGTTTTGGTGGTGTCGGGAGTTGGACGAACGATAAACGGGACGAGATCTGACGTGTCGCTCGATAGAGATTTGATTTCAATTGCATATACCCCGGAGCGCGCCTCGACTGGGATGGAGATCTGAAAATCCGTCTCCCAGCCTGCATCATCCAGGTCATCTTCATGAAAATGAATGGCTCCATAACCTGACTTGGCCCGGGTCCAGTCTACTTCACGTCCGTTCCAGTCGTGTCCAGTCACTGCCCTGGTGGGGGCGTTTATAAGATTGCCGTGGCGATTGTTTCCGGACACGTCGAGAATTGTGTCCTCGGAAATATTGGCCGAAAAATCGTACTGGGCAACCACGTGAGCATGTTCGCCCGTTGAAGATCTGGATGTCAATAAGAAAGCATCAATCCGCCCGTTGAAGAAATTCGTCGCTTTGAGAGACGAGGCTTCAGGACCTTCGGCATAGGATGCAGCAAGTAGAAGATCCTTAGAAGAGGTAGAAATTGCAGGACTGCTAAAGATGGCTTTTGTCCTGAAGGCCGCAGGGGTCTTTTCGGCAATATAAGGTAGTTGTTGGAGAAAAACGGAGCATTGGGATCCATGTAGATCGAGTTCAAGACGGACCCAACGCTGATACAGGGCAGTGAATGAAGTGACAATGACTTCCACCGTCGTTCCCGTTCCAATCCAGAAATCCACTGTGCCTTGAGTGGTTAAAACAATCGCAAAACCAGTCTTGTCTTCTGGATTGAGATTTGACACCAATGTCTGAGTGTGGCCGGCCTGTGGGAGGTGGGCCTGGAAATAGAATGATATTGCAAGTCCGTCATTTCCAGAAGGGAGGTCAAGTCCCTTGACCACAGCATACGAACCTGGGTTTGCACGTTGGTATCGACCTGAGGTGATTGTTCCACCAGCGATTTGGGTGATTTCTTCGAGCTGTTTCTTGGGCGAATGCTCAATGTCAACCCCCTGAATGACTCGCACCACTCGATATGAATACTCTGCGTCGGTTGAAGATACCTTTTCGATGGGATCAATGCTCTGTTTTGTTCTGAGGCCAACATCTCAAGTCCATATACTTGTTGCTACAGTCTTGAAAAGGGACAAAGGTAAGGAGAATAGTTCAAACATACCTTGACATCAATACTCTCGCCTGGATCTGCAATCCATGGCTCGGTATAGCCAATTATTTCCAGAGGATAACCTTGAGGGGTACCGTGGGCTGCAACCATGGTGTGGGCAACTTTCGTGGAACAGATTGAATCTCAGTCTTTTCTTCTAGGGCGATGATGAGGCCAGTACAGGTTGCTCCTCGATGATGGGATTAAACCAAGACAGGGCTATGCTTTGTTACGCTTTCTACCTCGGGTCTAAAGATGAGGATAGGCCTAGTGCGGCAAAGATGGCGTTCGCCGTTATGTCTATCTCGTTATCGTGTCGCTCTCATCCCACAAGGTGCTGTACGAGCCTGCAGATTGGTAAAGAACAGAGTTTCATAGGCAGTCAGTGGATTGGGTCCAACACAAAGTCCCAATCATGAAGGGCGAGCTGGGTCTGCCAAGCTGCAAATCAACGACGATTGGGGTAAATCGATGTTGATAAGGAGCCAAGTGGTCGTCCGTCCCGTACATATCAGAGATAATTACCCAAATAGGCAAATCAACTTGATGTGCAGAATGTCCAAATTCCAATCATGGCTGTTAGCGTAACGGGTCCGGAAGGCAAGTCTTCCATAAGAGTCAATTTATTGATAGTGAGCGAAAGCCGCGGTTCCTCAAGGGTATGCTGGCTATATTGGTCAACAACAAGTCTTTTGTAGGTTATTAACTAATGAAGCGTGAGACTGGTGAAATGCACGTCGAAGATCGAGATTGATATCACGTGTCTGAAGATGAATACCGACGCTGTTGTAATATTGGAGTGGCCAAGATACGATCAATTACGTAGTAAAGCACTAAAGCACATCATTGGGTTTTCATACCTAGCTGTTCTGGTGAGTCGTGACATCTCGTAGAGGTGTGTGTCTCTACTAGTGGATTTTCATCTATGAGAGACCGTCTATTTATCCCATATTACCGCAGAAATACCCGCAGGTTTTCCATCGACTTTGGTATCAAAGTTGTGGCTAGCAATGATAGGACCAATCCAGCCAGAAGCTGGATCTCGTTGAAGGATAATGAGCCTGCTGGAGGTCTGAGCGGCAACGGCAACCTTGTCACCCCGTGGACTGATGCTGAAAGACCGAGGAGAGAGGCCACCGACGGCGACGGATTGGACAAAATCCAGTGAGCCATCCATGCCGACGCGAAATGTGACCAGAGAGTCCGACTCCAGGAACGCGCCGTCTACGGTGGCGTTGCGATTGGAAACTACGATAAACTGGTTGTGGCCTTGAATCTCGGCCGCTTTGCCGTAGGTCATCTGCTCAGTGGTGGCGTTTCTGCCAAAACTGCTGACGACATGAATGGGAGAGGAGAGATGAAGGACTTTCTTATCATCGTAGGTGGTTTGGAAGATGGTAATGGTGTTGGCCAGCTCGGAGAGAACCAAGAGATGATTTACCTCCTTGTTGGCACCGACGGAAAAGATGGCGTGGCGTGGACCACTGCCTTTTGCAAGGCTCGAAAAATTGACTGGTTCGAACTTGCTGTCGGCGGAATTCGGTCCGTTACTGGCAAAGGTTCGGATGCCATCTTTGCCATAATCCATGACAACTATATTCCGCTCTAATAAATCGAGGAAGGCACCGTGAGCGCGGGGAACATCTTGCTGGGGAATGTTTGAAGTAGTGTTTGGGCCACTCCAGTTCACCCAAGGCTGAGCAGTGGTCAATTTGTTGTCCACGATATTGTAAAGTTGAACGCCACCAGGAGTGTTAGTCCCGGGAGGACCACCAAAAAAGGAGACAAAGACGCGAGACTGAAATATTACGGCGTGGACCGGACTCTTGTCATGAGGGGAGCTGTCGAGAAGTTTGAGGTGATGAGTAGGACCAATTTCAAGGTAATTTACCGATCCAGTGCCAGCGAAGCCCTCATCAAGGCAAATCATGGTTCGGTTGTCACGGAAAATTGCGAACCACGACGGGTTCTTGCCACAGTCCTTGGAGGTGGCGATTTCTTCAAGACGAGGAGTGTTAGAATCGAGGTAGAGGACCATACTGCGAACCACACCATCATAGCCGGCAACATAAAGGTAGTATCCGCCACCAGCGGCAGAGACGGCAGTCAGAAAGAACGATAGCAACAAGGTCACAAAAGTGCTTGCGAAGATGAGGTGCATGGTGGCGTTCACCAGGGAGCTGGTGGTCAATTACAACAATGTGACCAAGGGTGACAGGAGTTGAACCGAGTTGAAGCAGAGTTGAAGTTGAAGAAGATCAGATGTGTAAGTGTGGAGGGCAGAGCTCTTATATCCGAGAAGATCAGGGCAGGCCAGCTGCTCAAACAAAGGAAGATGATGACGCTGACCCGTGCGCGGACTCGGGAGGGAGAGTCATGGCACAAAGGAATCAAGTGAGTGTGATGAGATATAATGGATGGAAAACGGAGTAGCAAGGTCAAGGTAGTTGGCAGATGGCATACAGCCAGTACAAGTCAGTGAATAACCACATACCTGAAGTCACTGTGTAGTACAGTCATGGGTGAGACTGGGGACGGATGAAACAAATGCTTGGTAGGAATGGACGCAGGCCCAACCAACGAGAGACAAGGGATATGTTTAGCGCTGATCAGGGGCTGATTTACAACAACTTCAGCTCAGCGGACCGAGGGGGCTTAGATGATTGGAAGCCTTGAGGCTGCACAAGGCTCCCGTGTCAATAAAGCCGGCGGTTGATCATATCCAAACGGAGGCTGTTGGGGGGAGAGCGCGACCTCTGGGGAGATAAAGTGCTTGTGGTCGCTGTCGTTGCCGAATATGGCTAGTGGATGAGACGAAGGAGAGTATGGGAGATGATAGATGGGACGAAGATGTTGAGATGATGGAAGATGAAGACTTCAATATGGGAAAAGAAGTGAGAAAATGAAATGGAAGAGGGTGAGAGGCTAGTCCACATTCGACAATATATCACGTGTCAAATGGGTCACGTGCCATGTACATCACGTGGTGGTATAGCCAGTGTCACGTGTCGAATCGTCACATCATCGCCTCAACATGCGACAAAGTCAATACCCTCACAAGTAGAATCAAGTACATCACGCCGCTGTGGCTTTTAATCGTACATGAGTAGACCATGATGTCACCGTCATGAGTCCTCTATCGAAACTCCAAGCTTGGAAACCATCTCTTGAGGCCGACTCGATCCGAGCAGCTCTCCTCGCCGCAACCGCACCGGGCCCCAAATTCCATGCTTGACTCTTCACCACGCCCCGATCCGACCTTGGTGACGGTGGGACGATCGCGCATCACGGTTCCCTCCGGAACCATCTTCAATGCTTGATATGGTTGGGAGCCTGGGTCATAGTATAGCCCGTCAATCTCCCCAGTCATACGGTTCAATGCCACGTAGTAAAATCCCGAAATCGTGAGCCCCCAAGACGTACTTCCGTCGCCATTCCCACTCGGGTCGATAGACCCACGAGTACCATCGGAAGAATTGTTTGCTGTCACAATCCTTCTGGTGGCGTCTGGGGCCGTATCTGGCAAACCGGAACACGGACTCACAAAACACCGCTCTTTCCAACGCATCAATATCCATTCCTTGCTGAGTTTCTCCATGATCCACTTGGCGCTTCCGAGGCTTCGTGCCATGATTTGGTCGTCTTCGGCTTCCTGATCCATCTCCAGCTCCTCCGGGCATTGAGTGGAACCGGGGGCGTCGTCGGCGCCAGGTCCACTCGCGTCTGTGGTCATAGAAGGCGCGTTCCCCCAGCCCATATCAGATGGTGAATCTTTGTGGTCTCCGTCGCCGCCAGCGGCTTTTCGAAATGCATCCCACAGCCGGCTGTCTTGTTGATAGTCATTCTTATTCTTGCCTCGGAGGCTTCTCACTTTCTGAATTTCCTGTTGGAAGGGTCCCAGACGAGCCCAGTAACGTGCGTCAACGTCCACGCCCCCCACTGTGTAGTCGCGTCCTTCGCTCTCGGTTTCGAGAGGCTGCAGACGGAAATCGATGATCTCGCCAGTGAAAAATGATGACATGCTGCTCTCCGCGCGATCTTGCCCTGCGGTGACGGGGTGAGTGGATAGCGACTTGTCGGGAATGTGGCTGGCAGACATTGTGCCGGTCAGGGTCATGCTGTCGTAATCGACAGAATGGATGGCGACATGTACCGGCCAGTGGTCAGATTCAGTTTCACCGCCAGTACGGCCTGGAGAGGATGAGGCGACTGCAGGAGGTGGTTGGGTGAAACCCCAGCGTCCATTGACATTTTGTCGTAAACTAGACAGCCATCTTTCGGCGTCGAGGAGTTCTCCGGCAGTCAAGACTTCTGGTGCAGGGGGTGACGGCTCCCAGCCAAGACGCCTTCTCCGCCCGAGGGTGCGACGAAAAATCTCCCGTTGTCTCTCACGCCGTGCAGTGGAGACGAGCATGGCAGCGTTCCGGACGGGCTCTCGGTCGGTGGACTGGAGACCATGCCAGACCATGCCCGGCCGCAGCCACGAGGTATACTCGGGGATTGGGAGACTGTTGATGTGCATGGGCAAGTCGCTGGGTACATGGGAGCCTTCCGACTCGTACAACGAGTCCAGCCCCAGTTCCTCGGCCAAGGCAAGACCACCTTCAAGTCCGGTGTGCCTTAGTTGAGAAAGATAGCGGATGAGGTTGCGGACTCGAGCAAAGGAGTCGGATGTTCGGGGCCGTTTTGGAGAGGCCCAATCACGAGGGTCTGATTGTTGAGATCTCGTCTCTGCCAGACGACGACGTGTTTGAGTGGACATGCCGAGGGGTGCAAGCCAAGGTCTTGCGGAATTGGAGAGATCGGCATCAGGCTCTTCCTGCCAGTAAGCTCGTAGCGCACTGGCGGTAGGGACGGCGCCCATATCGGAAAGTCTGGTCGACCGGTTGGATCTTAGGGCTTGTCTGGCATTTCGATAGTTCTGTAACGCCCGCTCAAGTCGTAGCAAGTCTCGTCGGCCCTCAGGATCTGTGTTTGCTGCAGAGGTACTTGCGCGATCAATCTCACGGTCAAGATCGTCGTCGTCGCTTTCGTCGGACAGTGTCTGGAGCCCAGCGGGGCTCTGTTCAGGCCGGCTCATGGCCCAGTCATAAAGGCTTTGTCTGGAAGGAGGGCCGCCTACAGTAGCGTAGTTCTGATGAGACGAGGGTTGTGACTGCTGGGAGGGATTCATGGCGGGCTGCTGGATGAAGTCGTCTCGACCTAGGTGTGTTGTAGGGAGAAACGTGTTGGGAGTATGGCTCTCATCTTGGTCTTCGGCCGGTCTATGGTGGAGAGGAACCTCGTCGAACGAGTTTGTGAGTGCGGGAAGATTGAGGGTGGAAGCGAGGTCAGCCACTGGGGTGGAAATGGCTTCTGCGAGTTGACGGATGTATGGGTTTATAGGAGGCGTAGAGGTACGAGAGATCTGCGACAAGAGTGGAATTAACAAAGGCACTGCGTGGAATGGCCTGGTCAAGAGCGTGAGGAACGAGAGAGGTTGGCTTGGGTTTGTTTGAGAGTGACGGGTGGGCACAACATACTGTAGGAGAGTTTGCGGGCGGCATTATTGGGGAACTGCGAGCAGAAAGGGTGGAGCCGTGATGGTTGAGGGTGATGGCGAGGGAGAGAGTGGATGATGGAGGGTAGAGGGCCGGGGGTGGGTTTGTTGACCCTTGATGTTGATTCCTTGGTTCCAGAGAGTGTCCGCTACCGCTACCGGCGGGTGAGACATTTAACCATGACTGAATGGTTTGGATCTCAAGGTCAAAGAGAGGTCAGAGGTCATAAAGGATGGCGTGGTTGAAATGGATTGAGGCTCAGATCAGATCACAAGAATCATCTCGTTGAAGGTCGATCAGATTTCCCAAAGAAGGTCAGTAAGTCACCTGTTAAAGCAGGCAGGAGTGACAGGCCACGGCTGCAGTTGCCTCTGTAATAATAATAATAATAACAACAATAAGTGAGCAAGAACGAAGGTCCGAGGGGCAGGAGCATCCGCGGCCGAGGGCTTGCCCTTTTGGCTTCTACTTACGGACTGGGACTCGAGTCTGGACTCTGGAGTCATCGGTCGATCTGACCCTAAAGTCAACCCCCAACCACCCTTGAAGATGACGTCTTCTGGGAGGTCATGGCGCCTAAGATACAGGAATAAGCATCTGAACCGAGTACCGTTAGGCCCTGACCTCATCATGAATTAATTTATTCAAATATTGAATAATTGGTAGGCACTCGTGGCACTTGATCTCCAGGCTTTGTGAGGGACCAAGGGACTCTGGAGACGACATTAGGCAAAGATTACGGGTCTCTCTCTCCCTACCTAGGTACCTCACCTCAAGCACTCAATCCATACACGCAAGGATCACATTCCTCGTGCTCTTGCTTATATAATATCACTCCCCGCACTTGCACTACCTATCTCGTACTGCACCGTACAAATCTCTCTTTTGCCATTCACATCCCTATGATGTACCGCATTTTCGCATCTCGCAGTTTCTCAAATCTGTCATTGACGCAGGCGCATTGACATGCTTCAAACTCCCCCTGTCAACTTGTCCTTCTCTCTTCTGCCCATGAGTTGCTCGTATTGTGGTCTCAATGGCACTGTCATCTTATAATCGACTGTCATCTCTTGTCGCCATGTCGTAACTCCCGAATTCCCATCACCCGCAGCCAAGGTGCCGCGTCGTTCGGTCCATCGTCGACCCATTCTCGAGACCAAAGACGCGCTTCACTCTATCTCAACTGATCCCCCATTCAGTCTGTCTCTTGTCCATAATGCCGTTTACTCTCAATGAGTTACTCAACCCTACATCAACTGCTGTACACGAGCTGAATTCTACATCCAGGTGAGCTTCCGCCTGAGATCATCACCACTCGATCCACGTCGCCTAACGACTTCTCACTAGTATGGATTCTCATGAATCCCCCTCCAAGGACGTCGCACCTGGAGTTCTTGAATCAGACCCGACTTCCTCCACTGACGCTCAGGATACCCTTGCAGCCATTGCCCAGACAGCTACGAACGCCCTAGAAACCCACTCACTCGTTCCGGCCGCGCACGACGATGTCGAAATGACCGACGTGAGCCTGGTCAAACAGGAACAGCCAGATGATCCCAGCCTACCAACACATCAATCGCCGTCGCCGTCTCGTCAAGGTAGTCCAAGTCAACACGACAGCACCGAACCTACTTCCCACCACAGTCCCTCGCTCTCCCGAGATACTCCCAACAAGTCCCTCAAACAGCGCAAACACCCTGGCAAGTCAAAGCCCGAGCTCACCGCCAACAAGTCCTCCATCCACTCCTCCAAAAATGAAGGCCAGCATACAGATCGCCGTTACCTGTGCTATTTCTGTAACAAACTCTTCACCCGACGACGCTCCGTCAGAGATCATATCTCAAAGATTCACAACACAAAGACTTGGGAGCCTCTGCGCAGTTTAGAGATCGTCGTCGAACCCATTTCGGGCGAACCGCTAGAGCCCCTCGAGGACATCATCTCTCGAGGTCCACCTCCGCCGCCTCCAAAGCCTGCAAAATCTGAACCCCGCCAGTCATTCACCAAACAAGACGAATCTACCCAAGACCTCAGCCCAGTTGCCAACGAAGAGGAATCCCCCCAGCCCGATATACCCACAACCGTGGCTACAGAGCCCTCTCGTCCGACTACTTCCGTTACCTCCTTGAAAAAGGAACCATCTCTGGTCGAATCGCGAGCCTCCTCGAGTGAACCTTCGGCAATCCCCGCTCCCGTCGCGGGCAAAAAGCGTCCTCCTCCCAACGAACCTTCCAAACCCGCGTCGGCCGCCCTCAAAAAGAAAGGCATTGCAAAACCCAAGCCCACGCCCGCAAGTAACAAGAGGCAAAAGATCAGTGACACGGAACACAGCTCCAGTCTCGCCCGCTCTCCTTTGCGTTCTCCAAGTGCGACCCCCTCCTCCAACCACGTCAAGCCGCTGGCATCTTCAAAGCTCAAAAATCAAACTCTTGCAGCGAGCGTGAGGTCATCCCCAACCCCGAGTCTCTCACGTGACCCTTCGGTGCGATCGATATCGCGATCCAGCTCCGTCGCGGCCACCCCCGAAAGCTCCAACGATGATGGAGAGGTCTTTTGCATCTGCCGCAAAGGCGACAACCATACCTGGATGATTGCTTGTGACGGCGGTTGCGAAGAATGGTACCACGGCAATTGTGTCAATATTCGCGAGCGGGACGGCGACCTGATTGACAAGTACATATGCCCGACCTGCACGAGGCCGGGCCTGCACACCACCTGGAAACGCATGTGTCGTAGAAAGGACTGCCGCAAACCAGCGAGAGTGACACAAGACCCTCCCAGCAAGTATTGTTCGGACGCCTGTGGGCGCATGTTCTTTGTCGAACTTGTTCAGCGAGGAGATCCTACTGTCCAGTCCAGTCGTGATGGCCAGTCTGTTCTTGAATTGGAAAAGCCGAAGAAGGTTCGCAAGAAACCGAGACGCGTCGGTAACGCACATACCACGTCTAAGCCGACTGCCCCTCAGGCCAATGGAGGCCTGGGCGAGCCGACCAACGAGGCGAGCCGTCTGGCCACTCCTGCCTACAGCGAAGACGAAAAATCCGAATACGAGACCGATAGTAGTGTCGATGATGATATGCTGCCGAACCGAGGAGGTCCTTTGAGGGCCGGCGAAGTCAAGGCTCTCCTCGAACGTTGCAAGACTATTGACGAATGGAAGTTCCTGGGCAGAAAACCGGCTACTCCTCCACGAGACATGGATGAAAACGACTCCAAGGAGCCCGTATTCGAACATGACGAACTCGAACTCGACAAGATCGCCAGCATCGAAGAGCAAATGCGCACGCTAAACGCCAAAAGTGAGCTCTTGAGTGCAAGAGAAGGCTTGTTGGATCTCATCAAGACCAGGTCCAGCAGTATCACGGATGAGGTCAAAAAATCCAATGCCAAGTCAAAGCCGTGTGGCTTTGATCCACGTCTGGCTTGGAGCGACGAAGAGTTCTCCCGGTGGTACGTTGCACAAGGGAAAGCCATTCTGGATGCTGGGGACAAGGGCAAGATCGGGCCTCCAGACGACGATGAGCTCGTCTCGGACAAAGGTGCCAATGGTCTAGCCAACGGAGCATCAAATCACCATGCGGGAACGGAGGATGAAGAAGAAGACAATATGCCCAAGAAAGGAGGCGTGTGCGTCAAGAACAACTGCCAGCGACACAAGAATTGGGCCAAGGGTCAACTAGCTGAAGTGCGATTTGAGCAGGATTTGGTGAGAAGATCTTTGGCAAGGCTGGAAGCCCAGCTGTATGAGTTTCGTCAAAGAGCCATGGTGAGAGCATGGGAGCGAAGAGGCTGAAAGGCACAAATGACCTAGTAACCTCAATGTGTATATTACCACCAGCTCTCCGTGGCCTTGACCATGGGAGGCATCTGTTGCTTTCATAGCCTTCGAGAAAGCGGTACAACAAATCCAGGCAGAATTTGACTCGGCGTGTGATACAAGTCTAAGACTGAGCATCTGACTAGACCTTTGGTCAAGTGTAAATCATCTGTGGAAGCGTCTAAAATCCCGTGATCCTGTTGATCACAAAGACCGATATCCAACTCATCAATGCTTGACAAACACATCCAACGCCATTCAGAGTGTCGTATATCCATCACCAGCTTCAAACCCTTACATTGCGCAGCGACGACTCTGCACTCGGCATGGCTTCGAGTTTGCATGACACAGATCACACAGACTGCACCGTCTCGACACGCTCACTTTCTCGAGTACGAGGCTCGGATCTCATCACACACAGCAGCCGTGACTTGGGCCGTATTGGCGGAGCCACCAAGATCAGTCGTCTTGATGCCCTTTTCACAAACTCGTTCAACGCACTCGAGGAGACGCTGCGCCGCCGCCTCTTCGCCGAGCCAGCTCAGCATCTCGGCTGCGGTCCAGAAGGTCGCCACAGGGTTCGCAATACCCTTGCCGGTGATGTCAAATGCAGAGCCGTGAATCGGCTCAAACATGCTAGGATGCTCGCGTGTCGGGTCAAGGTTCGACGTCGGTGCAATTCCAATACTACCGGCCAGCGCCGCCGCCAGATCCGACAGAATATCCGCGTGGAGGTTGGTGGCGACGATGGTGTCAAGGCTCTCTGGCTTGAGAACCATCCGACATGTCATTGCATCGACCAGCATCTTGTCGGTTGTCACGTCTGGAAACTCGTTGGCAATCTCTGCCGCCACCTCATCCCAAAGAACCATGCCGTTACGCTGAGCATTGCTTTTGGTCACGACTGTCAGAAGCTTGCGCGGCCGCTTCCGTGCCGTCTCAAAGGCAAATCGCATGATGCGCTCCACAGCATGTCGTGTGAAGATGCTCACTTCAGTTGCCGTCTCCCAGGGGTGGCCTTTGTGTGAGCGGCCGCCTTGACCCGCGTACTCGCCTTCACTGTTCTCGCGGATGATGACCCAATCTAATGAGCCCGGTGACGCGTTGCGGAGTGGTGATTCCGTGCCGCGGAAAATCTTGGTTGGACGGACGTTTGCATACTGTTGCAGGGGCTGGCAGATCGCAAGACGGAGGCCCCAGAGTGAGATGTGATCTGGAACATCTAGTGTGGGCCGACTGGTTAGTTGCCAATGAACAGGAAGGATAGATGGTAGTATTCACCAGGAGCACCGACAGCGCCAAACAGAATGGCGTCATGTTTTTTCAGACTCTCCAAGCCACCATCAGGGATGTACTTTCCAGTCTTCTTGTATGTCTCGGATGACCAGTCGTAGTCTTGGAACTCGAGCTTGAAATCGCCAGCGGCAGATTCCAGAGTCTTGAGGACTTCCACGCCGGCAGAGATTACCTCGGGTCCGATGCCATCGGCGCCCATGGTGGCTATCTTGTAGGTCTTGTTGACCGGGACGGCTATAGGTGACATTTTGGCGATTGGCTGAGAATTGGGATCTATATCTGGGTTTCACGTAGGTCTTTTTCAATATATAGAAGATGGGCCTGTGACACCTTGAGATGACACCAAGTAGAAGAGGGAAGACAGTTGACGTATTCCTTGTCTCTTGGTAGGAAAGAGAAAGATATTGCGATATGTTGTCTCGATAGACCTTCAACTCTTCCACGCAACACTTACATGTCCAGGGATTTATATAACATCATGGCTCGAACAAGGACTGAACAGCAACCTTCGGCATGAATGGCGAGAAACTTTATGACAACGCCGATGAGCATCGATGGTCCTCCACAGGACGGGAGGTGATCGGTAATACCCCGAAGCTTGAATGACGCTGGTTCGCTGGTTCGCTGGCTAATTCTGGCCGACTCCAAGATTCTCCGCACGTCTGAACAGGTCGTCAGGGTTGTCAGGTCGTGTCTGTCTACCACGAGAATGCGGATGAGGAGACACAGCACCGCAATTTTGCCGTCTGGGCTGTCGTTGATCTCATGGACCACGATTTCAAGAGTTCGGACAAAGTCAAGGAGAGACCTTGTCGGACAAAGGTTACTCCGGAGGCAAATCTCCACTCAGACGGACGAGGCTCGGACTTTCTATCCTCCGCGGCTCTGTGATTGGTTGGCTCCTCCATATATTATCTACGGAGTATACTTGTGTACATATACGGAGTATGTATAGATGATCGCGACCTCAGCCTTGCAAGACACTTCTCCCAGGTCATTTCCTGCCAGCCCAACTCTGATCATTCACCGACAGGACGACCGTTGCGTCTGCGCGGCGTTGGCATGCACAGGCCTGTCTCACAAAGTCAGAAAGCTTTGATCGTACAAGGTCGCCTACGACAAAATACTACAATCTGGAAGACTTTTAGCTATCCAACCAGTGGATACTGATGATTCCAAAATGAGTTGATCAAGCATCTAAAATAAGAAACGCCAGCGACACCAGCCCTAGATGTGATACTGATGCTTCCAAAATGAAATGATCAAGCATCGAAAATAACAAACGCCAGCGACACCAGCCCTAGATGTACCTTTCCACCACGATTGCCATCAACTACTAAGTTGTAGTGCATCCAATTTTGAAAAGAGCAGCAAGGATACCACCCACTGCCGGGACCTGGCCGAGCGCAGCCGCCGTCACCGTTTCCAGTATCGAGTTGCAACTCGAAGTTGACTTGGCGTCAACCGTCAATGACAACGACGCCGACATTTGGGCCACATTGTTTCCCCTGTTATCGTTGAGTACGACCTGGGCGAAATTAGGCACATCGCGAATCCTGTTGTTGTTTTCCGACGAGCAGCAGAGATCTACCCGCGAGTTCTGAGTGGCCAAATCCATAGATTTGGCGAGAAGACTTTTCATGTAGTCTCTTTGGTCCAGGTTGTCGTAATTGCCCGACATGGTGACGGAAAATTCTCCATTTTTGTTCAGATGCGACCAATCTTTTTTAAATGGGTTGCCCGAATCACATCCATTGTCCCCACATGCAATCCCTACTGCTCTCTCGATAAGATCAGCGCCGAAGAGATCCGCAGTGATATACTGTGTACCAATGGTCACTTGAGCCGTTGAACCTGCCAATGGGTTGTCAAAGAGGTCTTGGTTGAAACAGATGACACTCTCTCCAATGGCGCCCATGCACGATCCCCTAGCCGAGTCCATAAACTCCTGACAAGTCGTATCCCGGTAGATGTTGCATTGATACCCTGGATCAGAAGAGAGGAGGATAACAGATGAGTATTTAGGAACAGTGATGCATCCACTGCTCTCCTTTTCTGCGGCTGGATTGTTATGTACGTTGCTTAAAATTGAACCACTGCAGTCGAACGTGTCAAAGGATGCAAAAGAAATGTCGCCGGCCGCGACGAGGTGCACTAGCCAAACAAATGCGAGAATGTGCATGGTTTCAATATGCCAACTTGTGAAAAGGTTTGTGTGATGAGAATGATGAGATTCAAGAGCCAGCAGCAGGCGCAGTGGGACAATTTATTGTTCGCCGTAAGGCTCCCTTTGGCATCTGGGCTGTGGCAACAAATATTGCTGAAGACTTATGAAAATAGACCTGAGGTTGACGTGGGATTGGCCATAACCGACCTATAATTCGGCGATAACAAGCATTCTCAAACTCCGCTGCCTGGAAGGATTCGAGCCTCGCATCCTTCCACACAGCCGGAACACAGCCGGAACACAAGGATCCAGAACATTTTATCGTAGGATTCTCTATGAATCCTGAGCTTTCATCCTGCAATGTCTTAAAAGTCACACGACTGGTCGATATATCATTCAAAGATGCTAAATGAGGCAACGCGCTGCGCCAGAATGGTCAGCGACTGTTCAATACGCAACTCAGCCTCATCACCCTTTTCAGGTTCAGTATGATGTTCTACTGTAACAATGATGCGACGAAAGGATTTGCCACCAGCAATCCGCCGTGGCGGTGCATAATCTGTATGAATGATTACCCAGGTTGTCTACTCACGTCAAGGCGGGTTGCCAGGAATGTGGGCTGAGAAGTACGCTTTCTTGTCGTTGATATAATGGAGGAGTTTCGACCTGTTCTTCTCTTGCCGCAATTAACTTCTCTTCACGTCAAAATTCACCATGGATTCATCACAATCATCTTCGTACGAGCCCTACCGGTCAGTCCGCGAAGCCGAGTCCGAGAATGGCGAAAAGCTTTTAGAAACCACCGCCGACCGCTATACCAACTCCAAGAACATAGAGCAGATGCATGTGAACGTCACAAAAAGGTCAAACAATCATTTGCGGACGGCATTGAGGTTTCTAGCCCTCCTCATCGCCATGAGCATTTTAGGAATTCAGGCACACACCGCTTTTATCTGGATGGACACTCGTAACCAAATTTACTACAGCCAAACCACAGGGTTCCCCACTCAGTCCTGGGCGGTCATTGATAGTTGGCCAACTTGGCTGATGCTTGGAGTTGCAGCGTTTGGGACTTTGGTGCAAGCGCTGGCACTTACGAGTCTGTGCAGCTGTGTATGTCCTTGAATGCGACCCTTTTGAAACACATACTATTGGTTATCATACACTGACCTTACATCTATCAGTTTCAGGGGCTCCATGATGGGGTTTTGCACGCGGCGAGCGTCTACATTAGCTCTATTGCGGTCATCGCAGCCTGGACTGCGGCTCTGGTAGCGTTCCGCGTCGTCTATTCCACGGGCAAAAGCAAAGACCGCTTCGACATTTGGTTCTGGTCCTGCTACCAGAAAGGATCCCAAGACACAATTCCGTGGGCTGGGTTGTGTGCAGAGCAGGTATGTCAGAAAACATCTCGACACCAGACAATCATGCTGTTTGCCAAAGCTCACTTCTGACATGATTTCTCTTCAGACCTACACGTTTGCTGCTGCCATCATTGCAGTTGTGGTTGAAGCCATATGCGTTGCACTCTTTCTGGCGCATCACCGTGGATACAAGCCACAATTAAGTTACAAAGGCGTGGGCTCTACCGTCAAGAGCTGGGTTCCCAGCAGTCGTGGTCGTTATCGGGCGGCCAGTCGTTCGTGAGGGTTGGAATTGTTCGAATGGATACAATTGGGTCACGTATTCGACCCTGTCAGTCTTGCAATTTCTGCTCGAGACTCCAAAATCCGCGCATCAGGCCAGCTTAGTTGTTTGAAGAATAGTGGGTTGCGTTTAGATGACTCTACGGTGAAGAGATGAGATGGACCTCGACGAAACCCCGATCGCGATGTCAGCAAGGAATTGAATACGAAAGCTATGGAGCATAATAATTGTACTTGCAATTAGTATTGGTTCAATGATTCCCTTCACCGAACTATCTTTGATCACGATACTTACTATTACAAGATACTTAATTCCCGTCTCTATATCCGTTACGGGCAGAACTCAGCCATTGCGAATGTGGTAATGCTCGATTTATTAAGCGAGCAACCTTCGTCATGATAGCTTGACTACCTAGCACTAGAAAATGTGTGCAGCCAGTCTTGTGTGACAGCTCGCATTCATTATCACATGTCACCGGGTCCCATGGCCTCCGCAAAACAGCCCACCGTCTGGCCGAAGCGAGTGAATTGACCCAATCAATCCATCAGGTTTGGGTATTCGCCTCTTCGGCCAGGCACAGCATTCAAAAGCGAAACCTATCTTCCTTGACATAGCAAGAACAATTAGCCATGCGTCCTTAAAACCGATCAACATAGATAAATTCCGAAGTTAGAATTATACATTAAACTCCGTCTAATAATCGGCTTCATAACGCAATATTTTCAAGAATACAAATAGACGAAATCGTTGTAAGGCTGAACCTATACTTCGTATTCAATCGGGCGCTAAACGTGACTGATGTTTCTGCCTAGTTTGTTACTAATCGCAATGACCTAGCATGAGAGAATTGTGGCGTCCAGCTGAGATGATTCCTTTTTCTGAGCCAAAGGATAGATCAGGCTGACCGGTTTAGCAATAAAAGACTGGATTTCGCGCACTCTTTATAGGCGCAGGGAAGACGGATGATGGGCTGAACAGGTCTTTCATTCCCTTCTCCCACTCGCTCTGGACGGGCTTCTGATTCTCCAACCTGGGCTCGAACCTTTTGGACAAAATGGCAGCTCGTATGATCGCAATGCAGTTTTATGACGCCGTCCTGTCAGTCCTTACCATCGCGTTGTGTGTACCGTCAGTCGCCTTGACACCGAGACTGCTTTGGCTGCTCGGCCAGTGGCTGGTAATCAACCATGCTGCGAGAACGATTTGGATTCTAGTATCTTCAGTCTTTCTTCTCAAGCAAATCCGTCAACGTCATCTGTCTCCCGTCCGCGAATGCGCAAGTTTCTTTCTGTATCGGGTGATGGGTCAGCTGTCATGGAGAATCGTGGTTCAGCTGTCATGGAGCATCGTCGCTCAATTACATGTAGGGAACACTTCGTACGACGAGATACTTGCATTCATCTTCAGCCTTATCCCCTCTGGATTATCCTCATTGCTTCATAACTTCACGGTCGTCAAACACTGGAAGCCGGCATTGTGGACCACCTGGCTTGGCTTCGCCGCACTCCCCATATTCCTCAAGGACAACAACATTCCTGGCTATCATGCTGTAATTATCATTTACTCCAACGTCATTTTGTGGCTTCTGTCGCTGTTGATTTCTTGTGGCAGGGGTTGGATCCACACGAGCAGGAAAAATCGTCCACCCGTCGGCACAGGGGAACAACAGACAAATGTTAGAGTCATAGAGAGTACCACAAAGGATTCACAGCTAGATGACAGGACATGCACAACTACGCATGCTTTGGCACCGTCTCCGCCTACGGCTTTCAGCTACAAGGATCTCGAAGATTTGGCACCTGAAGGAAAAGAGATAAGAATGCTGACTATCTTGCAAAGCGACAGCAGCAGTACATCCGAGCCTCTCAAATGCAGAATTCGAAATGTTGCTACGGACAAAGCACAAGGCTACACGGCTTTGTCTTACGAATGGGGGTCCGAGAATGCGACAGCATGCGTGGAAATTAATGGAAAGATGATGGCCATTAGACCGAACCTTCACAATGCTCTATGCGTCATGCGAAATCATGGACATGGAGACATCTGGGTCGATGCCATCTGCATCGACCAGGAGACAGTAGACGAGGTCAACTCCCATATGACAATTATCAAGAAAATCTACCAAGGTGCGGATCAAGTGGCGGCCTGGCTCGGACCAGCTGCGGACATGTCTGATTGGATCATGGATGAGTTGGAAAAGGGGACTCGGGTGGTAGATATTGCCCCCATCCATCGAAGGCCTGGGTCAGTCGAAGACACGGCGGTCACCAAATTTCTCACACGGACGTACTGGCAACGTGTATGGATTGTCCAAGAGGTGGCCGTGGGCATGAGAGTGCAGCTGTATTGTGGAATGAAGCAAACAGCATGGAGAAATCTACGATGCTTCAGAGATGAGTGGAAGTCCAGCACCGATGAAAAACAGGCTTATCCATTCGCAAGGACAGTTTATGAAATCCGGCAGCACAGAAGGATTTCTTCTCAACGGCCGAAAAACACGCTCGAGATACTGGACCTAACTCGGGCGTTCGAGGCAACCAACGATGAAGACAAAGTTCTTGGTCTTTTGGGACTGGCAGAGGATTGGGAGTCTTACAAAACCCCGCCCGACTGTTTCCAAGAGCCTCGATCGTTGTGTCTTTCGATGACCAAGGGCGTGGTAGAGAAAGATGAGACGCTCGACATCATCTTGCTTGGCCGCACGTATGGACCCCAAATACCATTTCAGAGACGAAAGAAAAATACGCCTGATCAACGACAACTTCCGTCCTGGTGTCCCGATTTTGTCCATTTCGCACCCACTGTATCTGAGAAACGACTGATCTCGTATTTGGCAGGGCAACCAATGCATATATTTGGACGCAGAAGTGCGGATGCCACAGGTTCGAGTTTGACTGGAAAGATCTCGTTTACGACGGACGGAGACTATGATGTTCTGAACGTGCAAGGAGTGGAGATAGGCTCAATCACCTCACTGGGAGTAAGCGCCAGCTTGCCATCTGAACCAGATCATAAATACAGAGAAATATGGCAGGACGACTCCTGGGATGACACAGAGCTGTACAATACCCTGGGTCAGACTTTATTGATGTACGACAAGGACTATGATGTGCATGCCCGGGACCCGACTTTCCTCCTCTGGATCATGGATGAGCGACGAGGCTTCCTCGAGACCGTCTTTAGTGGAGCGGGAACGTCTGCCACCGACGAGGCTCGAATCAACGAATGGCTCAAAGCGAATGCCGACATGTACATCCATGGCGAAACCTTGTGCACAAGAGCGACTTCACTGTCGAGCAAAATCAGTGGTACTAGCAATTGGTTCAAGCATGCTGTGGGAACAGCGATAGCTTTGGCCCAGGGAAAGACGAGTAATTTGTCGATTCGGGCCCGAGGACACATTGTGGCAGCTATTAAATCTGCAATCGACGAAGATCTGCGTCTCATGACTCTCTCCCAAGGTGGCAGGATGGGATGGGCACCCCCAAATGCTACACTCTCAGACAAGGTGTTTCTCCTTGAAGGATGCCACTTTCCGGTGGTTTTGAGACATCGAATTAACCAAAGAGATAAGGTGATGCCCGGATACCGAGTGGTCGGCCATGCATACGTTCATGGAGTGATGCACAACGAAGTCTGGTCCAAGATGGGGACAGAAGATTTGCAGCCGCTTTCACTGTATTGACTCGTGGTCGGGTTAGATAGCAATGGGATGCAAAGGTATTGGTCGATAGGCTGGACCTATGCTTCGTATTCAATTAGGCGCTAAAATGTGATGGATTTTCCTACCGATTTCATTACCCATCGTGATGACCTAAGTATCATGGTGCGAGTAATAAGAGCTCTTGTGATTTAGCCAGCCCCCGGATTCTGGTTTGAGTGCTTCCGGGGATCCCAGGCAAGATAGCCTGAGATCGGCTTCAGGGCTCCACCACAGATTCTTTCAACCGAGGCCGCAACTAAAATCAACCACGGAGCGCACACAGTGGAGCAAAATATTTCTTTGCCGACCGCACGAATTCCTCGGACATCCTCGAGGATCTCCTTGAATTGCTATAAGGATTAGAAGAAACCGCAGCTAGCAGGCATCTGGAAGACTGTGATGTCTACATCATATCACACAGATATAGGAAAATAATGCAACAGTGATAATTATGGCAGCAAGCCTGTCCTCAGAGAACATAATGTCTGCTTGGTTTTCCGGAACCGGTAAACAGATGGCTCTACTCAGCCGAGGTTGTGGTATACAACTGGATCCAGGAAGCGACACTATTCTCGCGGACCATCATGCAAGACGAACAGCCAAGGCCGTGCTGGAGACTCGGATTCGGCTGGGAAGATTACTGCAACTTCGATAGAATCTCAAGTTGTCACTAGGTAAATTGTTGCGTCGGCAGCCCACGTGGCTTTTCTTCGAGCACGTCAACACTTGAGTTATGCACGTCGAGGCTCTATCCTGAACGGCTCTATTGTGACTATATTCACTAGTCTGGTACGTAGAACGGAGAGACTTCCATAGGTCCTTCTAGCCATGGAAGATAGCCCGGTGCACACTCACTGAACGTAATCTTCGGCTGGTTTTCATAATACCTGTCCAATCGAGAATGCAGAGCCTCGCCGAGATTGTTCACCATCCCGTTTGGATGGAGGGTTAGCCAAGGTTTCGTGCATTGTTCACCTTTGCAAGATTTCAACACCATCAACAGCGCATCTAGCCGGGTGACCACTTTCGCCATAGGATAGCCGTTGATGTTGGCTGGTGTCCCATACAGATTCTGAGTTTGATGTGGATCCATCTGTCGAGGGTTGATGAGATTAGTACCAGCAGCGTAATGAGAAATCGACCGAGGGGAATTGAAATACCTTCATATCGTACACCTCGTGCTCATGTGTGCACCATACTGTATACAGGATGTCGTAATCCGGACTGACGATCCGCATAGCTTTGTAAGTGTTGTTCGGATGAAAAGCTACCGCCGGCGTTAGTGCCTCAACATCATCTTGCAACCATGAAAACTCACTGAAACTCCCGTTCGGACCACCTCTGGTCAGGCCGCCCTCTTCTCCTGCAAGGCCCCAATACTCGATTGTCACATGATCGTGCATTGGTGACACCGCCGCTTTCTTCATTGCGCAGGGTGTAAGTGGCATTGGAGTACCATCAAAGTCGTCACGGAGCGGAATCTTGGCAATATCAAGCACTGTTGCCGCGATCTATGACAAGCAAAAGTGTCAGTACATATGACAAAAGCCCACAGATACTTTCATCTTGTAGTGAGCCACGAAACACGGTCAAGAGTGTCTCGAGGCTCAAAGACGACAACTTACATCAATATGTGTAGTGGCGAATGAAACAGAATGGTTTTTGGGAACCCCAGGCCCTCTGACAATGAAAGGAACATTTACGTCTTCTTCGAATGCGCATTGTTTGCCTGGCTGTAGTCGATGCTGTCCCATATGGTATCCATTGTCCGATGTGTACATGATGTATGTGTTTTCTGCCATCCCAAGTTCGACGAGCTTATCGATCACCGCCCCAACGAGTTCATCAACAGCTTGAAGACTTTGCACTCTCGCTCGATAAAACTCATCATTATAGTCCAACTCGGTTTGATTAAGAGGGCGGAGTTCCCTCACCCAGCTGACACCTTGCGGCTGTAACCATCGCCTATCAGTAACCTGTGCACTTATGACAGAAGGATGGAGCTACCTCTGAGGGATTGAAGCTGGGGCCTCTGGGAATTTTGAGATCTGGAAACAGGTTCTCGTGTCGCTTAGCCGGCACAGGAGGTATGAAGTAAAGCGAGTTGGGAGACACAACCGCCTCCGTATGTGGTGCGATGGGTGCAATGCCCATGAAGAATGGCCGCGGGCTTTTTGAAGCTGATTCCAGCCAGTCAACTGAGGTCTGCGAAATAATATCTGTTGAGTATTCTCCGGGCCGGAACCTAGGGGGCTCATCATCGATCTGGAAGGACGCATTGTAGTACGTATACGCTGCTGGGTCAATTAGGTCTGGGTACTCTGGTTAGCTACGGTGGTGAGCCTCAGATGTCATGAGCCTCATTACATGCAGTACGGTTCCAGCCTGCAGGGCGTGGACTGTTCCAATTTTGGAGGTTATGGGCATTGAAGAGTTTCCCTGTGTAGTATGTATCATATCCTGCAGCTTGCAGCCAGACTGGAAGGTAATTCTCATTCAGGCCCTGCGACACAAATTTCGGATAGCCACCTTACCCCAAGAATGTTAGCCACACATGCCAAAAGCCCGAAGAATCCTATGCTGGACCTTACCATATGGAGGTTGGACGTCCGTAACGTTGGTGTTGTGGGCCATTTTCCCCGTGAGCAGACTGACCCGAGATGGGCAACATACTGCAGTGGTACAGAAGTGTTTCTTGAAGTGTGTACCTTCCTCTCGAAGCTTCTGCTGGAGTATTGGCTGGTAGTCAAGCGAGTTTAGATTAAGATCCTGGTCATCCGTCAAAATGAGAATGACATTAGGTCGTTGTACCTCAGTCGCGGTTGACAAAGAAAGGAAAAGAAGGCTGACGTATGTCCACACGTGGAGGAGGCCCATTTTGATGCGCATGTTCAATGCAGGTACACTAACTGACATTTCCATTCATGTCGATTGGAGGGTTAATCACCGTTTATAACATCCTTGCATCATTGTGTCAACCGTGCCGATTCGAAAGATATCTCCACACCGGGGAAATCTGCTATCCGTGGTCGTCCACTACCCCGGACTTGGCATGTACATTCCATGGAGACTGGAGTTGTGGGGTTGGCACCCGGTTCCGGGGGCGCTCTGAGGGTGGGTCCAAGTAGGCAGGACTATCCGGCAGGCTTTGGACTATTGGATAAGAGTGATATCAAGATGAATCACTTCATTTTCCATCAATTGTTACCTGACAATGCCCAGCCTTCCCATGAAGCATGACACCGAAGCAAGAGTCTCTCCGTCAGGGAGAGACTTCTCAGGAGCGGCGTACCCCCAAATGCCACTTCTAGATATTAGAGCTTGCTACAATTCTGAATGTGAGCATTTATGAGCACCGAGAACTGTAGGATGCCGGCTGATTTTATGGAGTTTTAAAGACGGCGCAAAAAGCCGATACAGAATGGGCAACCCTGTAGTGAGCGGGGGCCACCCTGAGACAAACCAGCGCAGAAACCTCTGCTGTGCTAAGTAGGATCATTCGCATTTCAAAGTGGCGACTTGCGATGGATCTTCTACCTCGCCGGCTCTAATTTTGAAGAAAGGCCAAGGGATGTATACGTTTTCAACTCCGCTTCCTAAGCCTGGGAGCCTTCCACCATCCGAACAGTCTCGTCAGATTCACTGATCGCCGCTGAGCCCGCTTCGATGAGACATTGATAGCTACCTCTTGAGCAAGGGTACGTAAGCTGACGGAGACAGACGGCAGGTTTTCAAAACGCAAGTTTTGTCTACCACTTCTACTCGATATTCAACTTCTGAGCGTATCTCTGCATCAATGCATCAGCATTCCTCCATCGATGCGATAGTTACTCCCTGAAACCATTACAGAGTCATCGCTGGCTAAAAACAAAAATAGGTTCGCGACCTCCGCGGGTTCGGCTGCTCTTCCTGTTGAAACACCGCAAGTCAGTAACAATGGTTGCGTCTTGATATCCACGAACCCACCTGCCGGGGTAGCGGCGAGGCGCTCTTCGAGTTGAGGCCAGACTCTGACCAAGGCCGTGTTCACGAAACCGGGTGATACTGTATTTACACGTATCTTATGCTTTGCATACTCTTGAGCGGCGGTCACTGAAAGCGCTCGTACCGCGAATTTCGACATGTTATAAGGGGCGAGTTCTGGAAAGGCAGCTTCACAGGCGAGGCTGGCGGTAATGATGATGCTGCCGCCTTTTCCAGCGCTTCGCATTCTTTCCGCCCCATATTTGACCCCTAGAAATGCTGTTGCGTAAGGCAGGCATGTCAGAATCCGTGATAAGCATAGCAAGAAGGAGTAAGAATGCTTGACTTACGTCCACGGGTATTGATACGCATTTGGCGGTCCCATTCTTGGATGGTTACTTCAGAAATTGGCAGTATTGCTCCCACGCCAGCATTCAGAACAAGAATATCCAAGCCGCCCAGCTTGTTCGTCGCTGTTTCTATGAAGGCGATCACGGCGTCCTCGTTGCTAACGTCGGCATGCTGAAAGAGGAAGCTACTTGGATCAAAGTTTTGAGACTGTAGCTGCTTGCGTGCCGCCTCGATGTTGCTCTCAGAGTAGTCGACCGCAAGAACTTTGGCCCCTTCGTCAAGGAACCGTTGAGTTACTGCCAACCCTATACCGGCCGCACCCCCGGTTACGACAGCTACTTTACCGGCTAACTTCTGATTTGTTGATGACATGGTCGTTACTATCCCAAAAGAGTACTGAGGTTAAATTCCAGAAAGGAGATGCACATGAACGTAGATTGTTTTATGTCTGGCAGCTCGGTGCGTCTCCTTCGGTCTCAGGAGTCCGAGTTTCCGTTTCGGCTTGTCACAATATTCATGCAATGTCAGAAAGCTTACTGATATCGTGTATTGTTCGTGCGAGCTAGTTTCCCCGAGATTCCGCACCCCGGATTCCCCACGGAAGTGGTTCGGTCAAGTAAGGGGTCAGCAAACCAGATCTAGCTTGCTCGGAGATTGATATCTGTCGC